GGGGAGCTGGCTCAGTAGAATAAGTGCTTGCCTGGCAAGCACAAGGGCCTGAGTTCAATCCCCGGTTCCACAAAAAAAAAAAAAAAAAAGTTAAGATCCCGTGGTTTCACTTGTAGAAAATACTGTAGACATTTAAGTACAAAGAGAAAGACAGTGAGATTTTTTTTTTTTGATAGTGAGATTTTTATTGCAGCACTATTTATAATAGTTTTAAAAATCTGGAAACAGCTTAAAAGTTCATTGGCATGGAAATGTAAATAGAGTAGATAAAGATCTTTTAAACTTTTAAAAAAGTATTTTATTTGGTACAGGGTCTCGCTACGCACATCAGACTCATAGGGATCCACCTGTCTCAGCCTTCCCACCAGCGCTGGGGTTATAGGCATCCTGGCTAGCTTGGTGTGCCCGGGGTTCTTGGTCCAGGGATTGAACCCCAGACCTTGCGCTTGCCAGGCAGGTGCTTAGACCACCAAGCTACCTCCTCAGCCTAAAGATCTTTTTAAAATGAAGGTGAATCAACTGGAGATACTAATTTAGGATAGCAATTACCCTGTGGAGTTTGGGAATGGGATTGTGTGGAAAATAATTTCACTTGTAATATTTTATTTGTTTTATGTGGAAAAAGAAACTTAACAAATTTACAGAATATTAAAAGCTAGGGACCAGGGAGATGGCTCAGTGGAATAAGCGCTTCCCTGACAAGTGCAAGGGCCCGGGTTCAATCCCCAGTTCTGCCAAAAAAAAAAAAAAAAGAAAGAAAGAAAGAAAGAAAGAAAAAAGTGTGGAGATGCAAAGCCGGACATGGTGGCACACACCTGTAATCCCAGCACTCTGGAGGCTGAGGCAGGAGGTTTGCTGGAAGTCTAGACCAGCCTGGGCTACACAGTGATGAGCTCAAGGCCAGCCTGAACTGCATAGTGAGACCTTGTCTCAAAAATTAAATAAATAAATAAATAAATAAATAAATAAATAAATAAAATAGAAATGCTGTTAACTATTGGCCAAAATTGCTGGATACCTAAAACCTTTTAGCCATTTTAGTAGATTTAAATAAATACCTTTTGGGTTCATTTTTGAGGTAGGATAGAAAAAATAAAGTTAGGTAGAAAGAAGACAAGAAAATTTTCATTTGAAAATTGTAATTTTAGCTGGGGGTGTAGTACACCCCTCTAACCCTAGCACTGGGGAGGCCTGGGCAGGAGAATTACTACAGGTTCAAGACCAGCTTAGGCTACACAGTGAGTTCAAGGCCAGCCTGCACTACAAAGCAAGACTCAGAACTAAACAAAAAGTTAGTTTTGATGAACTGAAGCTTTATTGCATAATCAAAGTTACCCGAGATTACAATGCTGTTTTCATCCCCCACCCCTTCCAGTCCCCTCACTCCTAAATTCCTAAGAGTCTTTATGTTTTGTTTTGTTCTTTCTTTAGACCGGTCACACTGTAGTTCAGGCTGGCCTTGAGTTTGCTATGAAGCCTGGGCTGGCCTCAAACACATAGCAGTTCTCCTGCCTCTGTGTCCTGAGTGCTGGGATGGATTATAGGCATGTGCCACCATGCCATGTCCTAAGAGTCTTAAAGATACACTAAATCGTACATTTAGCCTGTGTCTGTCTTTCTTTCTTTTGCGGAACTGAGGATTGAACTCAGGCCCTTACACTTGCCAGGCAAGTGCTTATTCTACTAAGCCATCTCCCTGGCCCCTTAGCCTGTGTCTTTCTTTGGATATTATCAATCCTTAAATTTGAAAAAACTTCCACTCTTAAAAGAAGTAGCACTATGAGATACCAACCACACCTCCAATCAAACACATGCGGATAGTTTGCATTTTACCTTAATTGATACAGCTCCTTTTTCTGTCACTTTAAGGAAGTATACTCTAGGTACATAAAAGATAAGTAACTCCAGAAACAGATGTCCCAGGCCATCTGTGTGAGCCTGCTCCACGAACACCCCCAAACCCAGGCCATAGTGCATCATGCCTTTGAGCTCTGTACCGTTTTCTTGACCGTGTGGTTCTTGGATTCTGCATGATAAAGCTTTTTGTACCTTTCATGGAATTATCCTGAAATCCTTTTCAGAAGAGAAAAAGTGTTGAGAACCTACCTGGGGCAGGCTGAGGGTCCTAGCTCCTCTATAAGGGGATGATCCCAGACCCTCCCTGGTGACATTTTGAAATATGTTAGTTGCTTATACTTCCCATAATGTTAGAGGATAATTTAAAAGAAATACAATAAAGTCATCAATTTACACAGTGTGTGTGTGTGTGTGTGTGTGTGTGTGTGTGTATAATTCTATTTAACTATTAGTAAAGAACCTTGGTGAGGTGTTACAGTCACTTTAGATGGTACCAACGAAAAGTCACATGTGCAGTGCAGATATAGAAATAGTGAGGTCCGTGTGTAAATGGGAGGCAAAACTGGGCTACAGGAAGAGGAACAGTTCAGTTGGTACAAATCATTTGCATGTCTATAGACAAGAATTATTTGCGTTATTGTTATTCATAGTATGCTTTTTTCACTTTTGACAAACTCAGAATTAGGTGGTCTACAAGTGTTCTCTAATCTAGAATCTCGTTCACCTTTGAATCACAGATTTTTCCGTGCAGCCAGGCAAGGTTGGTGCAGGCCTGTAATCCAAGCATTCAGGAGGCTGAGGAGGGAGGAGTGCCAAGGGTTTGAGGCCAGTCTCAGCTACACAGTGCATTCAAGGTCAGCCTGAACTACACAATGAGACCGGCTCAAAAATTTTTTAAAAAATAAAAAAGATTTTTTTTTTCCTTGTAGAGAACAATGACCAGCCTGAATAAAATAGATTTTTTCACTTGAAATACCTTCTGTTTCAATTTGGTTTTAATCCTATTTTTTAACCAGAAAAAAGCCAAAGGATTTGAGACTTCTATGGTGCTAGGATTACATGTGTAAATCACCAGGGCCCTCTGTGTGTCTTAAAGAGAAATGACACTGGATATTTTCTTAAAAAAAAAACAAAACCAAAAAATATGAAGACATGCTGGTGTGGTGGCTCACACTTGTAATCCCAGCATGCAGAAGGCTGAGGCAGGAGGCTCATTGCAAGTTTGAGACAAGCCTGGGCTCCAGAGTGTACACGAGGCTAGTGTGAACTGCACAGCAAGACCTTGTCTCAAAAAACACAAAAACAAACAAAAATCGACAAATTCTTTTCTGGCTCCAGCAGTAGGAAATAGAGGCTTCGGTGTGCAGGGCCCGCTGAGGGTTGGCAGCCCATGGGCAGCCCAAGGAGGCGGTGGATTTCCTTCCGTGTAGCATATTCACTACGTCAAGGTGTTGTACTTTGGGGTAGCATGTCCTGGGCATGGAAAATTACTGAGACAAACTTAGTTAGATACCAAAGTGTAGGGATTCTTGTAAAATTGGCTCCAGGAGGCTAAGGTTTTGGGGGGCTAAAAGGGCTCAGAGGAGCCTGACCAAAGTTAGTCAAGGAGATGGTCCCTACCACCTGTCCTGTTTTTCTTACACATCCTCAGACAAAGGCCACATGCATGATGATGTCCTTCTAAGCCCCAAGACAGAGACTTTCTGGTTAGAAGACTTCTTTTGATTGTTCTTGTCCTGCTGACCTCTTTGCTTGACTTCAGTGGTCTGCTGCGTCTAACCTTGAGCCAGTAGACAAAGGGGCTAGTAGTGAGGGGTCACTGTTGGTGGTGGTCGAGATGTCATCTCTGGAGGCTTAGGTCTGTCTTTCTCCCCAGATCCCCCTGAGACTGAATTTTTGTTTTTTTGCAGTACTGGGAATTGAACTCAGGACCTTGCACTTACCAGTCCAGTGCTTACTCTACTGAGCTGTCTCCCCAGCCCCATGAGACTGAATTTTTAGTGGAAGATTTATTCCAAGTAAGCTCAGGGAAGGAGATACAGGGACCCCTTTGCTGCCTTAAATCTCTACCTGCTCAGGTGTGCAAAGAGTTTGCATTGTGGGGAAAAGGGGCTGCAGATAGATAGGACAAGAGCTCTTTATCCAAGAAGCCCATCCGTGCCTTAAAATAGACTGGAAGATGGCTGGGGAGGCAGTGAGACGTGGCTGTGTCCTGGCCCAGGCTGGGGACTTGCAGTGGCTATGCTTGTGGGGCCTGCCAGGCTTTCGGATCAGCAACTTATGGTGACAAGCAGGTGGCACAGTGGGACAAGCAGTCTTTACAGGCAGGTCTATGTGTTGGTCCTGTCATGGAATGGAGTCCTGGAGGAACGTCTCCCAAAGAGGAGGCTGGTTAGAGTCAGGAGCAGGGGGGACATGTGTGTTGTAAGGGGTGGAGATATATTTGTGAATCTACAGAAAGTTAAGCTCAGTTTAAAGGTGAAAGGCCAACTGCAGTCTATTATGTTTTCAAGGATGGGTGATCTGTTTTCCTTAAAAAGTCTTTGAAACTTTTTGAATCTGTTTCTCAATCTTAGGGTCAGGTCTCTGCCCTTTATCTCATCTCCTCAGCTAACTGAGGATTTAGAGTATCTTTAAAGGATTTGGGGTACAATAGGCCTGGGAAGAAAATACAAATAAGCCTAACAAGCACAAATACATCTTAGGAGAAAAGATGGGGAGTACAGACACAGACAGCCTGGGGTAACTGTGCCCCAAAGAAGTTGCAGTCTTTGAAATTATGACTTTCCTTGGCTCCTTTCTAACTGCCTTTATTTCTTCTACTTACCTCAGTCCCAGCAGTGCCACTGTCCAGAGAGTTTCTCGGCCTCCCTGGGCCTCCCTGAGACAGTGTTCTCTCCATCTTGCTCACAGGGATGTGAAGAGGATGTAAAAAAGCCCTCACGTTACCAGGCAACGCCTGTGTGCAAGCTAAGCTCTGTGTCCCCACCCCTGCACTCCACTCTGGGAGAGCCTTTCTCTCCTGTCTTCCCGTGTTTCTATGTCTAGTGTACCTGGCAGGTGTTAAGTCTTCTTTGAGGTTCTTACACTAGGGAGACAACACGATACTTACACATGTGGGTCTGATTTATTCCACGTAGTAGTCTTGCCACTTTCTGAGGCATCTGCTCCCTGCGTGGGCGTCTGGTTATCATGCGTGAAGAGATACCCCTGGGTTCGGGGAACTAGAGAAATTATGATGCTTCTTGGCATTTTCCTTAACATTTATTTTGAAATTGCAAAATGTATTCTAATCCTTTTCAGATGGCCAGTGTTCTCTCAGGGGCATTAGTCATGTAAGAAATTTAGGAAAAGCATTTACAAAGAAGTGGTTAATTTAATCCAGGTTCCAGGGGTTGCGGATATGGCTCAGCAGCACACAACCTGCCTGGCAAGTACAAGGTCCTGAGTACTATTCCTGGTACCAAAAATAAAAATGATAAACCAGGTCCCAGGCCGAAGCAGTAGGGTCTCTGAAGAAGTTTCTTTTCCTGGTGTCATTGGGTCGCTGGATATGGCAACCAGCAATGCTATTTGAATCTTCTAGAAATAGAGGGCTGTGTCTTTGGTCTGTGACCTAATATATGGTTATAAATGTATTAGTCATTGAGGTCTTTTTTTTTTTTTTTTTTTTGCGGTTTGTACTTAGGACAGGGTCTACAGGGTCTCACTTTTTTTTTTTTTTTTTTTGCGGAGCCAGGGATTGAACTCAGGCCCTTGCGCTTGCCAGGGAAGCACTTATTCCACTGAGCCATCTCCCCAGGCCCCATTGAGGTCTTATGTGTGTCTTTAGTTGTGCTGTTGTGGGTGCTTTGATGTCCTGAATCAATTCAAAGTGTTTACCTTTTATGGTCATTTGAAGGTGCCAGATCTGATGAATAAAATGGATGAGGACAGAGCATAATGTAGTTGTTGTCTTTTTGAGACAGAGTCCCGCTATGCCATTCAGGCTGGCCTTGAGCTCACTTTGTAGCCCAGGGTGGTCTTGAATGCACAATGATCCTCCTGAGAAATCTGCTGGGATAACAGGCTTGCGCCACCATGCCCTGGTTTTGTAGTGCTTTTTATAAGGGCCTTTCCCTTAGATGGCACTCAGCATCTGATTTTTTTTTTTTTTTTTTAATCAGCACTGTGGTTTTTGTCACATCTTGTAAAGTCATGGAAGAGGACTTCCAGAACTGCTTCAGAAGGTGGCATGAGTGATGGCACGGGTGGGCACAAATCGAGGGGAGGATTTTGCATTGGATTCACAGCAGCGAATCTCTGCCATATGACGTGCTGAATTCACATGTTCACATTATCTTTGCTCACCCCTTATCCAGCACTTTCCTGTCGCATCTCCACCCTGCACGTCTGATGTGTTTCCTGAAATAATGTGTGTGTGTGTGTGTGTGTGTGTGTGTGTGTGTGTGTATGTGTCTTCAGAGGGGCATTTTCTGTTCAGTGCCGCGCCGGGCAGCTTCTAACCTGGTGTACAGCCAGGGAACCACAGCTGTGTGTTTAGGAGAAGCAAGAGGACAGAGGGAAAGCACCAAGTAGGCGCCATGAACTCCCATTTGGGCGTCGGGTTCCCCCTGCCACCAACGAGCAACTTTTTAGTACATTCAGAGGATGAAAGATGAAACCATCCTGGTGCCTGATGCACTGCTGGCTAATTTAGGCAGTTAAGTTGGTGGTGTCCACTCCATAGGTTGACCATTGATCTGGGTAGTTGTCCCTCCACATCCCAGGGAATGGATGTCCCTCCTGTAAGGTAACATAGTATGTGAATAGCACCAACACATCATCCTATATACTTTTTTTTTCAAAGTTTTATTGATAAACAGATAGCAATGAGACAGTTTTAAATCAAATCGGAAGTACAGTTTCAACAAATAATACACTGCATATATTCTTCTTAGTGGTTAATTGCTGTACAAGATGCGGACTTGTGATCCTATTTACAAACACCATTAGAACAAATCATTCTATTCATTAAGAAAATGCAACTATATATCTACCCCAACCACTTTGAATACACAGATACAAAATGGACATTCATAGGTATACCCCATTTTTCCTAAGTTCCATTACTGAATATTATAGGTGTGTAAACTCAGCAAAATATTCTAAAAGAGTCCAGTAGCCCATAATAGCATTGGGTCTTCTGTTTAACTGGCAATGTCAGAAATTATCATCCTATATACTTTAATTCATCCTTAGATTACTTTTTTTTTTTTAAATTTATGTGTGTGTGTGTGTGTGTGTGTGTGTGTGGCCAGCTCAGCCCACCAGGGGGCAGGGCTGGCTGGCATGTGGTGCTGGGGGATTGAACCATGGTCCCTGTGCTTTGCTAAGCTTGTTCTAAGTAGGTGCTTGAGAACACTGAGCCATCTCACTAGCCCCCTTAGATTACTTATAACACCTAGTACAATGTAAATACTGTGCAAGAATTTATTATGCTGTGTTGGAAGAAAAACGGTGTACAAGGCAGTGAATGCCATCCCCCTCCCCCAGGTAGTTTCAGTGTGAGGTAGGTTGAGTCCATGATGGGGAGCCCGTGGATACAGAGGGCTGACTGTATTTTATCTACTCCCTTTTTCTCTAAATCAAGGAGGCAAAGTCACACACCAGCATCTTCCGAGGAATGAGCCTCTTTGGGACTAAGTCACATGAACCAAACAGCACATCCACATGTTGGGGAGCCCGCTTAACAGTTGGTTTTGAAGGGCTCTCAGCTGTGTTGCCCAGACCAGCCTTGATCTTGCAGTCCTCCTGCCTTAGTCTCCCAGTTACCTGGATTCACAGACTCGTGATTTTTGGTGAATGATTACCAGCAAGGCAGGCTGTCCCTGTCATGTGGGCTGGGTCCACATTCTTGCTTCCTAGGGCAAGGTCAGCAAACTGTTGCCGTGGGTCGAACACGCTATCTGCTTTTGTAAGTTTTGAGGTATAGTCCTGTTCATTGCTTTACATTCTATCTCTAAGTAACTTTTTTTTTTTTTTTTCTGGGTGCTTTTCAGATACAGAGATAGCCTGGCCTGCAGAGCCACAGATATTCACTGTCAAGTCTTTTACAGAATTTTAACTGATCTCTACTTAGAGGAAGGCTTCCCGGGAGGCCTGAATGCAGCCAGCTGGGTGAGCTCAGAATCAGAGGGTGGCTGTTGCTCACCTTGTCATTGTCCCTGGGGCATCTTCCCTGGGGGGCCTTGGAGAGCCCGGGGACACCTGTTTTCCTTCTTGGCTATCTCTTGCTTGCCTCTCCATAGCTTCTTCATGCATCTGCATAGTTACCCCTTGTATTGGTTGTCTCCCAGCCCTGGCAAGCCCTGGTCAGGATGAGGGACCATGGCACGTTCACAGGTCAGCGAGGGGACTTGGCGTCCCCTGCCCTAGCCTGTTACATGTATGCTAAATCTTTTCTGACCAAATTTGGGAGCATCCATTGGCCTTGCAATGGAGCTAAAGAAACCTGATAGGAACTGTGTGTGGAGCTGCACACCTGTGATCCCATCACCGTAGGAAGCCAAGGCAAGAAGGTCACAGGTTCAAGCCCAGCCTGGGCTACTTAGCGAAACACTAGCTCAAAAATAAAAAAGGGGAGGGAGGGCTTGGGATATGGCTCAATGAGAAGAAGTCCCTGAGTTGAATCCCTAGTATGACAAAAAGAAAAACGAGGGAGGGAGAGAGAGAGAGAGAAAAGAAAGTTGAACTTAATCCATGAGGGAAGCATCCCGTAGTGAAGGGCAGCGCAGTTGGCCAGATGCCAGGTTCAGGGCCAAGGTGGACAAGAGTTGAGGGGTGAATGCAGAGGAGTCTGC